AAACAACGCCTCATTGCTTTACCAAGATATCTAAATTTCTGAGCTTTAGCATTTCCTCTTAGAAATAAACTTGTACTCTATTGGACTCAATGACATAACACACTGAGAGAGATAACTCAATTAGAAAAAGCTAGATTAGATGTATAAATTAGTCGAGAGAGCACTAGCTACCACTTAAGTAGTATTTGGACCTGGAGACTGTTACTAAGAGCATGTGATTCAAAGTTTTACATAAAAGCAAACTCTTATTCTTGGTGGAAGAGAAGAACCAGACAAAACATTTCATTTTACATCTTGATATATTAGTTGTCATGGTAGAAATGACCTTAGAGATAGCCATTAAGCTTCATTGCATTTCTTAATGTCCCTTTGGTTCTATCATAAATTGAGATCATGACATTATGAGAGTATTTATAGAGTTAATATTTTCCAGCTCTCATCTGGGTCCATCTTTCTTTAGATTTCCTTCCCAGTACAAGGAGGAGGCCCGTTTAGAATTTGAGAAAACATCCAGACACTTCTTCGAAAAGCTATACTCCTCCTAAATTCATACATTTTTTTTTATTAACAGATGTAAATTTGAAAGGGAAATACCATATACTATAAGCCTTTTGGGAATATTCTGTCTCGTAAGGATGACTTACACTTTTCATTTGAATGGCATGGATGCTGAAAGCTTAAACACAAAACTCATCTGTACTCTAGCTCTGAATCATTCCTTCCGCGAACTCTGCATGCATTTTAATAATAAACACACACATGCGTATGGAGCATGTGACCTCACTGGGAGTTATCTGCAATGTCAAGTACTACTGGAGGATAACCAAGAATTGACTGACACATCTTATAGAACTGGAGTTAATTAATAGGTCTACCAATTCCCAATTGTACTACAGGAAACACAAACACAAAATCTGCTTAATACAGCAATAAATGACATACCGTGTGTGGTCATAAGGCATTCACTATATAGCAAGAGTAGTTTTGGAATACAGTATTCAGGAGTTTAAATATTGCTATTAAAATGCTAGAAGAGCAAAATTGGGTCTATTTTCATAATTAGAAGACTAAACAAGATTTTTTCTTTTTTTTTTTTTTGCAAACTGTTCATGATTATTTAAAAGGAATTGCTATATCCTCGTATAAGATCTGAAGCTATTAAATGATGAAGGAAGTCTTGCTTTGTTTCAAAAGTGATGTCTTCTGTGGCATCCAGCCATCTGGAATGGTAAGTCCATAATTTCTAACAATGAATTTCAACAATCTTGGGGACTCAATGTAAGACAAAGAGTTACTTTAAAGGAAGAGCACTGCAAAGAAAAAACTGGATGTTAAAATGTCCATGAATTCATGATAAAACCAAAAGCAAAATGTCCTTTTTTGTATGATAAAATTATTTGTAATATGTAAAGGCTGGACAGAAGTTTAAAAAGTAAACGATTTCACTATTTTATGTAGAATGGGGCAGGAACAGCAAAGTATACATGCTACTTTTCAACCAGAATATAGGAGAAAGATTTGTCTTGGTTCTTTCTGAAGATCCATCCTTATAAATAAAAGTTACTAAATTCAAACTTCATGAGACCTTATGAACTCTTATCCAATCCTGGCCTCAGTCCTGATTATTATTTTATTTCTTATTCTTCCAATCTTTCCATTACCAGCATTATTTTGCTAACGGCATGAAGCACATATTGTCTCTTTTTTCTCAACTTCAAAAACAGCATAACTGTTTAAATCCGAGTGTAGTATTTTTAGTACCAATATAGATCAATTTAAAGCAGATTGTCTCTTAAGGCAGCTTAAGCATTGAAAATTAAATTTTATGTTGTCTAGACAAGCCATCGTGATAATATCTTTTCCAGAATTTCCTAGATTGACTGTCTAGACTGCTCCAAATTCCCCCAGGTAATTGCATAATCATTTTCCCTCTGACCCCCTAAACAGTCTGGAACAGTATCTCCCCATGTATAGTTGCCATGCAAATCAAGATCACTGAGCTTCTGAAGGAGGACTTCGCTCAAAGGTTCTGAGTTTTAGGATTTCAGGAAAATACTTGTACATCAATATCCCACCTTAAGGAGATGGGAAGCTTTATTTATCTATTTCAGTGGAGGAAATGGCCTGCTCCATTTTCCTGGGTAAATGGCCTGGCTCCAGAAGCTGCACCTCTGCATTTTCCCACCCATCCATAAAGCAGCAATAAAGTAGTTGATGAGATGAGAAGGAAGGAACTATGCTAAAGAGCAACTTCAAAAAGAAAAAAACACAAAACAAAACTACATTTTGGGGAAAATGGTAAAAATACAGGAACAATATATGATATTTTAATTTAAACGGCCACCAAGATCATCTAAGCTTCAAATTTAAAAATGGAGGAAATTAAGCTAAGTACAGAATGACCTGGCAACAATGAGAGCCCAGTGCAGTAACATACAACCTCTGATGAATGAGGTACATTTAACAACAAGGTGATAATTATCACCATAAACCCTGAAACTGCTTTCAGCCTGAGATACACATTTCTATTTTTTTTTTTTTTTTTTTTTTTTTTTTTGCGGTACGCGGGCCTCTCACTGTTGTGGCCTCTCCCGTTGCGGAGCACAGGCTCCGGACGCGCAGGCCCAGCAGCCATGGCTCACGGGCCCAGCCGCTCCGCGGCATGTGGGATCCTCCCGGACCGGGGCACGAACCCGTGTCCCCTGCATCGGCAGGCGGACTCTCAACCACTGCGCCACCAGGGAAGGCCCCATTTCTATTTTTAAAATGATAATCCACGTTTTTTTTTTCAGTATCTACTACCTATTAGACAACATTAAACTCTTACAACAACTATATGAGGTGGAGACCATTCTCATGACCACTTTCTAGAGCAGAAACAAAGACACAAAGAAAGTTAGTAGCTTGCTCCTTATCAAGCATCCAGTACTGAATTGAGGTTGGACCAAAGCCCTGCAGTGTGAGGCCAGGTGACCTGCCTTTAACAATGATGGGATTAGAACTCCCTGAGTTTCTACAGCAAAAAATGTCAGTGGGTCATGCCCCGCTGGGAGGGTTGGAAGGCAGTTGGAGGTAATAAGTCAATTTCTCATTTAAAACATATGGACACTGAGAATCACAGAGATTTGTTTTGTTTTTACATATTATGAGACAGAGTCTCAGAGAGGTTAAGTAATTCTTCCAGTGTTCCACAGCTAGTAAGTTGCCGACCATGATCAGAAGTCAGATCTGTCCCTAAAGCCTATATCTTTTCCACCAACCTGTGCTTGGAGCTCAGCTGTCCGGACCCCACTGTCTTATACAGCATGATGCCTGGCAGATGTAAAAAGTGCAATACGACATGGGGAAAGTTCTCCAGAGCTGTCTCCAGTAAACAGAGAAGTGAGCCCCAATTTTAGGGTGCCTGACTATAGGAAAGAGCTGAGAAGGAAAGAAAGAGGGAGAGATTTATCCAGAAGTTACTGAAAAGTTAAGTATGTAAAGTGTCCAGGACCGCGTGCAGGAAATTATTCCTAATTTCATCAATATGAAACAAGTAATTTAGGTGGAACTGCCCTTCCTTAAAGTTAATTTTTACTTAAAACTCTTGGGTATGTCAGCAAGGACAGTATGCATACTTGTAAAGGAAGGAAGAAGGATGCAGTGGGAGAAGAGGCTGATGAGGGCAACTGTCTATGCCGATGAGACCTTGGTAAAGGGTTTTTTGATTGTTTGTTTGTTTGTTTTTTACGGTACGTGGGCCTCTCACTGTTGTGGCCTCTCCCGCTGCGGAGCATAGGCTCCGGACGCGCAGGCTCAGCGGCCATGGCTCACGGGCCCAGCCGCTCCGCGGCATGTGGGATCCTCCCAGACGGGGGCACGAACTTGCGTCCACTGCATCGGCAGGCGGACTCTCAACCACTGCGCCACCTGGGAAGCCCGGTAAAGGGTTTTTATCTTCCCAGGATCATCAGGAAAGTCATAATAATTGTGTTCAGTCTAGAAACCACATAGCCTCAAAGGTGTTTTCTTATACAAAGAAGGCACAACACAAACTGTTTTGATTTCTAAGTCTTTGGGTTGAAAGAACATATTTGTAACACTTTTGTACCCATTAAGAAAATATAGAGAAAGGCTCTAGAGTTTAAGTTATAAAGAAGTGGCTAACATGTAAATTATATTTTATCTTTAGGATTCTAGAAATATTCTGGGAACAAATTCTTTATCTGTTGAGTATTTCTGAATTCCAGTCTGAAAGAAAATTCTGTCACAAATGATTTTCTCACCACATGAACACTTTTGTTCTTCTTAGGATTTTGTGCCAAAAATTATAAAAGGGCTTATAATTTAAGGCTATTGATAAATCCAACTCATGGAACTGCTTTCCTACTAGTAACTTTTCCTTTAAATACATCTCTAATTGCAAGTTGTACTTAAATTTCCCTAACTTTAATTTCCTCACTAAAACATCTTGTGGGAGTAATAGACAAATAAACATTTTTTTTCCTTTTTTATACTGACAAAATAATAGCCCAAAATATAAAAGCAAAGCCTAGCTAAGCAAGAACATAAATGTGAGTAATTTAGGTCAAACATGAGATCAGATCATTGTGTACATGTATGGCATCCTTTCTTAATCCCTAGGCAGAAGAAAACAACTGCGGTGGCAGACACTTCTGGCTAAGGATGGAAATGGAGGGGAAAAGTTGGCAATATACAAATGAAGGAGAAAACAGTACACATTCAGCCTGCTGACATCTGCTGCACATGCAAAATGGATTGGACTCTGTAATCCACAGTGAAAGCAAATGCTTCCTTCCTTCCTCCTGTTCCACAGTTATTGTTGAGTGATGGTCTCATTCTTTTTGCATTCACAGATTAAAATTAATAACAGCATCTGAATTCGAAGTAGGTCCCAATGAATAGCAACTAGAAGCTAAATGAACTGAAGAAATTAGTAATGAAGCATTTGAATAGGAAGGGGTCATGGACAAACACCTTTTTTTAAAAGCCAGCTTTACCTCAGGATGATGTCCAATTTCAACGTAGGTGCAAACTGGATGAAAAGCCCCTGTTCCACAGGCATACAAGTGAGTCTGATTATAAGCCTTAAGCACCTTGATGAAATTAGCACATTCTTTCTGTAAAACAAAAGGAAAACCAGTGAGTTCTAGTGGTCAGCATGGCTGAAGTATCCTCTAGGGAGCTAGGCATGTTTGAACAGATTTCTTTTGTGTCCTTTCACATCATTTTTAGGGCTTAATATTCTATTGTTTGCTCACATTATTACATAAAATACAGAAGGTGTCTGCTTGCATTATTACATGAAATATAGAAGTTCTTATTTTTGGGGGGGGCAAAATATAATATTCTCTTTAATGTTTTTATTAAAACTATTTATAATTTATTTATACAAAAGTGGAATAAAGTTATAGATAACCGATTATCATATGTGACTTTTCTAGAAATGAGGGAAACAGCAAATTATATGGTTAATGAATTATTTAAATCATAACAATGGTGAAAATTTCAAAAGTCAGCTCTGAGTTTAATTTTGGAAAAGTAAATCAAAAATAAAAGGTAATACAACCTTCTATTAAATATGAATTTGAAACATCATTAGTAACTCATAATGATGGGTGATTGACTTTGAACTTCAGTAGTGCTTCTTACTAGTGAGCTTTATAGACCCTAAGAAGACAAAACCACCTTCTCTTGAAAAAGTCGTTTAACCCCCAAAGGCAATTTGGGTATAAGATGAGATAGAGAAGGTGTTAGAGTCTGGAATGTCTATAGGCTGAAGGGTCTTTATTAGAGTGGCTATAATTAATAAATATTTTCATGCAGTTCACGTACATCCTAAACCCATACGTGGATCCCCTGCCCAATGAGTCATGGATCCCCCAGTAAAAAACAGCTACTAAGAGGGAATTATAGTCATATCTTTTTATTATTTATAGAAGTTTAGACATTCCTGCCATTTTATTACCCAAATAAAATGTCACCTAAGAGATAAATGGACAGAGCTCTTTATATTTTTTCTATATACTCTATTATATCTATAGATCCTGTGAAAGAAAATGTAGTTCTACAAACAAATAGGAATCTTAGCCTTTTGTTCCTGTTAAGGAAAGATTTAGGGGAAAAAATCAGACAGTCAAAATATAAACTAGATAATTTTATTGCCAAAGAAATCCAGAGCAGAAAAGACATAATTTTTGCCAACTATTTTTAAATAGATGAGTCCATATCAATACTGTAAAAATAAAACAATGAAAAGAGAAATTCAAACTATCAAAATATTTTCAAATAAAATGTTATGGTCTATTAACCATACAGAAAATCTTAAAAATTAAATACATATAAGTAGAAAATATGAGTTTGTCATGGAATATACAATACCCATTTTTAATATCCAATTGAGTATTCATATGGTAAATAATAATTACATTGAAAATTGTTATTGATCATAGACTTTCTTATACACGTAGTTTTGTGTTTTTGCCTATTAAACATTTATAAATAAGAGCCAAATATGTAACTAAAAATGCAGATAAAGATCAAAAGCAGACTATAGTGCAAGTAATGCTGGCAAACATAACAGTGGATTGGGTTTGTTCTTGCGCCTCCAAGTGTGTAACACTCCCAAAGTCACTCTCTACAACATATGACTCTTCAAGTGAAAGCTCAGAATACATTTAGACTTATGTAGTCCGTTGGTGTTTATAACTGAGGTGTTACAATTATTTAAGTACATTTCCACATGACACTTGTATTCTGTGATTGTAGCTGATGATTTTGGTATTAACTTTATTGCCTCCATAAAATAAAGAGCAGACCAAATCTGAGAAGAATAATTGTTAAATTCAAATACTTGCTTTCCATCATCACTGATTTTTCTAGATGACATCTGAGGATGACCTATAAACATCATCCCAAAGGTGAATTAGATCTTTTTAAGGAAAAATATGAAACTTGCCAGTTACGACTCCTCATGCTCTCTTATTATATGCTGAGTAGTTGAGGGGAGTAACTAAAATACACATCTAATTTCTCCCACTGTTTTGCTACTTAGATCCTGAATCCTTCTTTTGTCTGGCAAGGCATAACATAGAAAATTAAGCACTGAAATCAACTGATTTTGCAACTTTCTAAGAAGAGAAATTTCCTAACTTAAAGAGTACATGCATCTTATCCATGTACCACTATGAACACGGTACATCTTAGACATAACCTTAGATAAGCTCAGATATAACCTAACTTCCAAGACTTTTAGTCACAAACTCCCCATTCTGTAGCAGTTTCTCCTCCTTCCCCAAGAGGATAGGGCATGGATTCTTGGGCAGAGGAAAGAGGCTGTGGACAGGGAAACATCTGATAAACTCATTTACAAATAAGACATTCATGAGTCTTACCCAAAGGGCTTAACCTTGTACTCTTAAGAAAATGCAGTCCTTTGGAAATAAGTCATTTTCAGGAAAATGTTTTATGGCACCTCTTTCTTTGAAACATGTAGGTGGTCACATACTCTGCTTTTACATAAAGACAGCTATCCATGACAGTGGACTCAATATTATAGCATTCAAGATTATAAACAACCAGTTCCAGCACCATATGTTGAAATTGAGAAACTGGATGTGCACACACATATTGGTAAGCAAACGAATATTCTAATAAAGAGTAGTGGCACACCCAGATGGATGTATTGTTCATTTTAGAAAAGAACAGGGTTTTAGTTTGCCCACAGTCATATCTATAAAGATATGCAGGCAATTTAAAACCCAATTTCTCTAATCTCATTACTAACACCTCAGGGCATCCTAGAAATTTGAGAACAGACCCTAGTTCTCTGCAATAAAGGAAAAAAAAGGAAGGAAATATTTCATGAGCACAGATACTTGTGCATACAAATGAAGGCTATGTCACTTCTGCAACTGTTACGAATTCTAAGATTATAGAATCTGTGGGTTCTTATCTCATAGATTGGGTAACTGATTAGCAATAATTATTGACTGAAAAATTCTCAGGATTCTTGAGAACTAGGGAACTGAGCCACACTGAATATCCTAATTTTATTTTGTTCTCTATTAACTGTCAAAGAAGCACCACTCTAATATGACAACTATTCCTCTACAGAGCTGCTGGAAAAAATCACAGGACTATAGTTGTGAAACCTGGCAAAGGGTTCTACTGAGAATGTTGATAAGGATTCTATCTGTCCTACAAAGCAGCTAGACCCAGCCTACTGGCCTGAGGCCTGGAATGATTTTCCCAGTGAACTTTCCCAGGTGGCAGCAGGTTGTACTGTCTCTGTGCCTGGGGGCTAGCTCAACATTATTTTGAAGTGAAGGTTGATGCAAATAGAATGGAGAGAAATTTCTGGGGTTTAGAGAGTATGTTAAGACACTTGAACTGAAACAAAGAAATTGAATGAAATACTTTCAAAATTGGTTTAAAATAGCTGCAAGAAAACTCATCAATAACAACTTAGGAAGAAACAGTGAATTAAAAGAACTGCACAGAGAAGAACCCAAAACTTGAAAGAGACATTGTGAGTAATGACTGTTCTTTAAATAGAAAACCTACATAAAAGAGTTATCAATCCCTGTCATTCATTTGCCTTCATTCTCCAGCGTGTTGCTGCCAAGGTTTTTGAGTGTTCCAAAACGGGATATTCATTTTATTTGGAAGCAGCCTGGACATTCCTCTTAAAAAAAAGGAAGCATGGCAGAAAAAGGAAACACACTTCACACATTTCTGCTCTAGGGAGACAGAAGAAGAGTGTTTCTGACCTTTTCTTGAACCGTGACGATTCTTAAAACTCAGAATGTAATGTACTTTTTGGCATTCAACTTCTGCACTGCTTTGCTCAGCACTGGTGGATTTACAACGTAATAAAGAGAATGTAATCAGTTCAAAATGAATTCATTTTTCAAACCTGGTCCTTTTTGGAATTTAAGTTGATACACACAGACAAGTTTAGCCACGAGTTGGCTTCCCGAGAGTCAGGCAACCATACTGACCTCTTATTTTACTGAAATGTACTCCAGAACAACAGCATTATAAATTGTTAGCTTAGCCTAGTAGTAAAAGTAAAGGCAGTTATAAACCAGCAAACCCAAGGCCACACATGAAGACCAATGATTTATCCCTAGTGACAAACCATTTACACTTATTTTTTAAGAGTTTCTAGTGCCTTCAGGTCAAATGTAGAGAGGAATTACACACAGAGATATTAGCCTGGAAAAATAACTTAGAAAGAAAATGTCTACCCCCAGAAAAGGATATAGAAGCCAAATGCACAGTGATTCAAAAACAAACATCACAAATATGCAGCACTGATTAGAGTGTGTTACAAAGACTTTTCCTGGACAGTTACAAAAATAAAGTCCATCCATCTGTCAAAACAACTGCTCCATGCATGAAAATTAAAACAGAATAGAGGTGTTTTTAACTAACTTCTGATAATTACACTTTCTATAAAAGAATGTAATTTACCTCCAATTCCAATTACCTCCTTGCCTGTTCTTAAATTATGGATGGAGCAGTGAAATTTTACTCTAAATAAAAGAAAAGAGGAGAGAAGGCTGTGAAGATGAACAATCTATATTTAAATATATTCAGTTCATGATTAAATCAAACAACTTGTTCTAGTTCAAATATAAATCAGCTCAACATTAATGGATATAGTACAACATTGCCTCAGGTCAGTGAACATTCATTTAAAAAGGAAAAATGTCTCTATCCCATCAGCAATTTATGTTGAAATATTTTAATGTATAATGTAGCAGCTGGGAAAGCAAAGGAAGCCTTTTCCTATCATGGTGGGTGGATACATTTCTGCATGAAAATCCATTAATAAGCTTAATTCCTGAAGTTTATCTGTTGACTTTCTTTTTCTCTGGTCAATTTATTTGGCAAGCTGGCTGAATGCGAGAATCTTCGTGCCAAAGCAGTAATCCGTGAGATTGTTCCCGTCAATCACTTCATCCCTCTCTGTATTTAAGCTGTTCCATGCTTACCTAGCAATAATGTTTTGTCTTTTTTTCTTTTAACACTGTGCTATTACAGCTGTGATCAGACCATCCATAATCATGTCTTCCTAATACCTCAGCATTCACTAAAGGATGTTAGAAATCTC